GGCCCCCTGGAGTCGGTGGACATTCCTCCTCCATGGCTCCTCCCTCCGTCGGCTCCACCGTGGGCCGCTATTATGGCTGTGGCCTGGGTCCCACCTGGCTCCTCCTCCTGCTCCGGTTCCCTCCTGTCGTCTCCCTGGCTCCTCCCTCCATCGTCACCTCCCTGGACTCTGTTAGCCGTCCTCCTCCTGGAAGGCCGTCCTCCGCCGGAACCTCCACCTGTCTGGTCTGCCTGCCAGCCCTTTGCCTTCCCCTGTCACCATCTCACATCCACTGCTTTGTCCTCCTCCTAGTCCCCCTCCGCCCCTCCCTCGCGAGGACGCACCTTCCGGGAGGGGGGAGTAATGTAACGCCCCTGTGGACTGTTTATTGTGGTTTCTTCCCCTTTTGTTGGTTTAGCCCATACTAATTATTAGTTAATCACCTCATTGTGCTCACCTGTCTGCCCCTCGTTATCTGCCCTATATAATTTCCTGTCTCTGGTATTCTGATTTGTCGGTTATTGTGAATGTTACCCCGAGTGTGTGTCTCACCTTCCTGAATCTGCCTTGTTGTGTCTACATTAAAAGTAATTATTGGAATCCTTGTCGTCCTCGTCGTCCTGCCTGCCTCCACACACCGTGACCGTGACACCTGGGGCCTGTACCACAAAGCCAGGTATGTTTTAGGTTGGCCAACCCTGGGGTTTAGGTACCACCAAAGTGGGTCAACTTTAACCATTGTCACCGGCGCACCAAGGAAAGCACCACAAGCGAATCATTTTGAGAAATCAAGACAAAATCATAACACAAAACACGAGGCCTGTAAACTTCAAAATTGTATGTTTACTTTCTTCTCTGAGGTGAATATCTCTGTTGAGACAGTCATGTTAATGAATAATATATTGTAAGCTATACCTCAGTTATTCTTTTTTTGTGAGTGTTAATAATTAAAATGATTTAATCTACAACTAATTTAACAATTTAACAAAACATTTCATCATGTTATTTATAATGAATTATTTTGGGCAGGAATGAAAACACTGAGGCTGCTTTTGAAATGATTTCAATTCAATTCAAGTTTATTTGTATAGCGCAGTAAGCAACTTTACAGAAAATTAAGTTATTTATTTAGTTATATATTTATTTAGTTTTATATAAATTAATGAGGTTGTTTGTAGCCTTAATGCACATCTACTTTTACATCTATTTTTGTCTCATCTATTGCAATTTCAAGACTGAATACCACATTTAAATGCGGATGTCATTCCCGAAACATTCCAATTCTGAATCTTTTACATATAGCCTATAAAGCACACAAAGAGCGCTGACCAACTTAAACGCCTCTGATTGGCCGTTGCGTTCATGAAATCAGCAGATATGTCTGTGATTGGCTACTTTAAATTGAATAATTTAAATTGACTTTTAAATAGAAACCTTTGAAGCTCCTCATCCGCACTGAGTGTTTGCCAAATATATTTAGCCAAAATCAGATGGGGCCCCTGATTCCCCGGGGCCCTAAGCGACCGCTTTCCTTGCTTATTGGTTAAGTCATTGAAGACACCTAATATGAAGTGAACTGCACACAACTAATAACTGTCCTGAATCAGATGAAATATGACTACACTCTTTACAGTTCAGACCACTGGATTATAGCCCTCTCTTCTTGGTTTATACCCGTTTTGTTGACACCACAATCGAAAATCTTCCTTCATGTGTTATCTTAATTATTCACACATCTTTGTCAAATTTACATTTATCAGTAATTTTAATTATTATTAATAATTAATTATTATTATTATTAATTTAATTATTAATTATAAAATGCTAATTCTCTGTGGCTGTACCTTTGTCTCTCCACACACTTACCACCACAATGGTAAATACAGGAGGCCAGTGAGGGCATTTGTAAGCACCAGCCATCGCCAGCTACGGATGAAATAAGCTGCTAATGGAAAGAACATCTGACCGATTCCAGACCCCATGAAGATTCCCAGAGAACCAAACACTGAGAATTTCACAGCCTGCTGATCAAGAGAAATGTGTGATTCATGTGACAGATGATTTTTGAAACTGTGTTAATGATTGGAAGGACATTAATTGTTTAACCTAGGACATATGCTACAACATAATTAGAAAAACCACTGAATCCCACAAAGAAGTAGATGGCAGTGAAGATTTCCCAGCTTGGAGAAAACATCTGGATAAGGATAGTTACTGTCTGCATAGCCATCATGGCAAAAAGTACAGGCCTCCTGCCATACCTGCACATATCAGATATATCATATTCAATCATTTATTAGGAAAGCATCTTAGAGTCATATTTCAATTCCACATATTTAAAATCAGAGGTTTAGCTTAGCTGCCTGCTCTGTGAGGCGCTGACCTGTCAGACATCTGTCCTGAAAGGAAGGTCCCCACCAACACACCAAAGAAATATATCGATGAGGTCAGAGGCCCTTTGTACTCATTCTCACATATCAGGTCCCACTGAAAAACACAAACGAAGAAAAGTAACTTTTAAAAAGTTAATTAATTCATATGTTGCTTAAATTCATAGCATAAGTTGGTCTGCGTCAGAGTTCTCAAACGGTTTTGTCTACTGAGCACATATGACATTAAATATTACTATAAAACATGCTGTGTAATTTCTCATGCAGACTGTTGTCAATTCTACACTAAACTACCACAATCTTCTTCTATGTTCAGCGTATTCAATCAAACCTCTGTAACTGATTCGGAACGCAGCAGCACGACTGGTTTTCAGTGAGCCAGAGAAAGCCCACAGTAACCCTCTCTTCATGTCGCTTCACTGCCTACCAGTGTTGGGCTAGTTTCTTAAAGAACGTAATATATTACTCATTACTAGTTACTCCTTTCAAAAGTAATATTGTTACTTTACTTATTACTTTCTGGCAACAGTAATTAGTTACACTACTAGTTACATTACTTTTTCTTCACGCCCCACAGAAGTTGTAACTGTATCTTCCACATAAAATGCTTATTGTTATTCTTATTCTTACACAAAAAAACATATTTCTGCCTCATCATTTGACCAAAATCCACATTGGATCGCAGTCAGAAGTTATTACAAACACTCAATAGTGACTGATAGTAACATTCAAGTAGAAGTGTTGTATTAATCTCATTAATTGTCATGTGTAGCTTGAAGCTAATTGTAATTTCTCCATTACCCATATACGATTATATTTCATTATTTATTTTATCAAATCACATAAGTTTGTAAGAAACTCTTTAATTTTCCAAAAACATCTTTAATTATAGTAATATAATGTACCGCATGCTGATCAGAGGGATGTGGGTGGGATGTAATGCCAGATTAAAGTAAAGCCACAATTTACACAACAGTGTTCAGTTCAGATCATCTTTTTTTCCTGACAAAATCAATATAATGCAATATTTCTATCTGCTGAATGTAAGCTTTTCCATATTTCAAGCTTGCCTGCTGCACTGGGGACATCACATGCATGTGCGAGTTGTGAAAATTAATCTAGGAATTATTTGATTGTTGAATTTTAAATCAGTAGGGGTTGAGGCATCAAAAGTAACTAAGCTGTTTTATGGATGGTAACTGTAATATTACTGAAATCGTATTACTGCAAAAAGTAATATTATAGTAACTAATGGCGCTTTTCCACTGCGTGGTACGACTCGGCACGTTTTGCATTTCCACTGCAGTCAGTGCAGTTCAGTACCGCTTTAGAGTGGGCGGGATTATTCACATGTGGTTATAGTTGCGCCGCCTCTACTGCCGCGACTCCTGAAAAACACGTTTTCACTCCGCGTCGCCCCATCAAGCTCTCATTGGATCCGCTCCTCTGCTATCAACGAGAGGAACGTCTGTACTTCCTCAACAGACAACGAAACAAGCGAAACAGCCACTTTTTGGTTGTTAAAAAAAGGTGCGCTCGTTCAAAACAGTTGCGTTCGATCCTTCGCTGGCTGTGCTGATTTAAATCTAGTGGGTCTGTTGTGTTTGTGACGCAGGTAGTGACGATTCTCTCCGGCCAATCCGTGATCAGCAGAGTTTACACGTCATGTTTTGGTAACGGTACGGTTCACTTGGAACCTCAACCGAGGTGGTACTAAAAAAAGTACCAGGTACCAGGTACTGTACCCAGTGGAAAACCCCCCAAAACTGAACCGTACTGAACCGTGCCATGCAGTGGAAAAGCGCCGTAAGTTACTAGTAACTGCTGCCTACTGATCACTACTGCCATCAAAACACTGATGCTTGAGTCCAGAACAGCCACAGCCTCCTCTCTCTCAAACTCATCTATGTCTCTAATCCAACAACTTGTGGGAAGCAAGCAAGACATCTACAACTAAAACTAACCAAAAGAGGAACATTTGTGCAGATGGCATTTTCTATTTAAGTATATAAGCCTTTTCTTTTCTTAAACTTCTCAAACTACAAAAAAAAAAAAAAAATCACATTGAATTAAATGTAACCTAAAAAAAAATTATATAAAAATTGCATATTTCAGTATACTGAAAAATATACAGAAATGTAATAACTTCATAGAGACACTGTCACAAAAGGGTTGCAAACAAAGTTGAAGCAGGATCTAGTTGCATCGCAATTAAAATGTATTAAAAGGCAGGAATTATAGAACACGGGACAGAACAACCACTCTGAACGCAACGATAACAGACATCTGAACTTCTTCTTTTTCTTCTTCTGGTGTTTTATGGCGGTTTGGCAAACCAGCGAAAAAGGAGCATTACCGCCACCTACTGATCTGGAGTGTGGAGTGTGGAGTGTGCATAAATTTGGAAGAAAGAAATACAGAAGAGGAGAGAAAAAAAATAAATAAAAATAAAAAACCTAGATTCTATCTATTGTTCCTGTGTTTTTCAGGCATTTAAACATATTTTCTTGCACTCTTGATTGCCTCGACCCATTTCCTAACAATACTTTTAAAGAAATATTATCAACTCCCAGCCATCCTAATTCTTGAATTAATTGAAATCTCTCCCTTTCATATGCAGAACACTCAACAATAATATGTTTCACTGTTTCTAATTCTCCACATTTGTCACACTTTCCCGATTCATGCTCACCTATTTTATAAAGACTATAGTTTAATGTTGTATGTCCAATTCTTAGTCTTGATAAGATGACATCTTTCTTCCTATTTCCGTATCTTTTCCTCTCATTTCCAACACACTCCTGAATCTGGAAAAGATGATTCCTTAGACCCATTATTCCATAACTTTTGCCATTTCTTACTTACTTCAAATGATATCACTCTCTTGAATTCAGCTTTACTTAAAGCTAACTTAATTTCTATTTGTGTATGATTTAATGCTTTCTTTGCTAGCAAGTCTACTTCCTCATTTCCATCCACACCCACATGTGCAGGCACCCAGAGGAATCGTACCTCTATCCTTAACTGCCTTATTCTAAACAAACTTTGTAAAACTTCAAATACTGAGTCTTGCCGAGCTTCAGATTTACCACATAGTACGCTAGTGAGCGCAGCCATGGAGTCAGTACATATCACAGTTCTATCTGGTTGAACTTCTTCAATCCACTGTAGAGCTAGTATAAAATAAATAAAAACTGACACATGATCTGATAACCTTGCAATTTGTATTTTAAAAGTAGGAATATAAACTGCTGCTGCTGTTCTCCCAGACTCTGGCTCCTTAGACCCATCTGTAAATACCTGTAACACAGAATAATACTCTTGTATTGTATATCGTTGAACTACTACTTCAGTTGGCATGTTCATCTCTGTTTTTTTTATTACTTTGTGAATTTGTAAATCAATTAGTGGCATAGGGAACAACCAAGGAGGAATTGCTGGAATAGCAACAGAAGGAGCAATTTCATGGTCTTTCAACTCCAAGCTGTTTGCCTCCTTCCTTACTACCCAACCAAAGCTTGTAATTTCTTTGTATTCATATTCCCAACAATCTTTCAGAATTAGTTTAACTGGATGGTTTTCCAGATGTCCCTTTACACCATACCAGTACCTTAAGCTCAGCTGAAACCTACGCTGTTCTAGAGGCAATTCTCCCATTTCAACTTGTAATGAAGCCACCGGAGAAGATCTAAATGCTCCACAGCAAATGCGCAAAGCTTGATTTTGTATTACCTCTATCTTTTTAAGTAAGGTTTTGTTCGCAGAACTATAAACTACACTACCATAATCTATGTTTGACCTAATCACAGCACCATAAATTATTTCCAATGACTGACAGCTTGACCCCACTCAGCTCCAGACAAGCACCTTAAAACATTTATTCCTTTTTTTGCATTTTTCTATCAATTTCCGAATATGAATTTTAAAATTTAATTTGGAGTCCATCCACATACCCAAAAAATCTTAGTACATTTACTTGTTGCAGCTGATAACCATATAATTTGACATTCAAGGTTGGATTCTTTTTCGAAAAGCATATTACTTGCATTTTTGCCACAGAAAGACATCTGAACTAAGCCAAACACTGAAATACACAGAACTAATCAGGGAGAAGAGAAACAGGTGTGAACTAATCTGAAACCATAGAAACTAACCAGTGCTGGGAAAACTAGAACAAAACAAACACAACTCAATTAATCCATTTTTTCTTTCATGAGTCAATGCATGCATGGGTTGACAAAGCTAAACACACACGTTCAAATATATTATGGAGGATATTATTGACTATCAAATGGACACGTTATGACGTATAAGTAAATATATTGTCATATTTTTCAATATATGAAAAGCTGCAATTGCTTCTGCATTATTCAATATTGTCAGCAACACACAGGGAACACTCAGGTAAGAGACAATGACAACAAGCTTTATTATGGTGAGGAGCAGAGGATCAAGACAGCAGGAGAAGGTAAGCAGCAGTGTTGCCAACTGCTTTCAATTGAAAGTAGCTAAAACTGGTAGCTAAATGTCACTAGATGACATCACAATGGCAAATTCACTGATCTATATAAAGATGAACGTAGATCAGTGGGCAAGATGAGAACCTAGATAAGGTTTGTCCAAGCAGTTGCTATATTTGTCCCTAAACTTTTGAAAAAAAGTCTCAAAAGGGGCGGGGAAGTCGCTAAATCTAGCTACAAAGTAGCTAAATTGGCAACACTGGTAAGCATCAACAGTTCAGTTAAGCAGGCAATGGAACTCAGCTGAAGAGTAAGTGGAGTCTTTCCTTGTCTCACAGATGGCAAAAGAGCAACAGGATCTCAGAAGAACACAGGTGAGTAAACGCTGTCAGATAAGAGTCACTAGGAGCAACCTTGAGACCAGCCAGTGGCTTTACAGGAGTGACACAGCAACAGGTGTGGGTGATTAGAAGGCTGGTGAGAGTGGATGGTGATGTATAACAAGGGACAGGTGAGGGAGTGTGAAGGATTGTGGGTAATGGAGTCCATGGGGAAAAAACACAGGAGAACCAGGTAGATTATTCTGCATATTTTCAATAGCATGAAATATTTTAGCTGGAGACAATGATAGACTAGACCGCTGATAGCAATATTAATACAGCAAATCCACAGGCAGTTATGCTAACAAATGCAGAGTTTGATGAACTTGTCAAGTTGGAGAATCAGCTGGAACCATGCAGATGTGTGAGCTACCAGATCTTTGGTTATATAGAATTGCTAGCTAACATTGTCATGGTTAATCCTGTGATTAGAGTCAAGACACCTTTATTTCTATAGTGCTTTATACAATACAGATTGTTTCAAACAGCCTGACAATAATAATTGCAGGCTCAGTCAGGTCCTCTGGGCTAAATTAACGTGTGATATTGATTCCAGGCTGCATCACAAGTCAGATGTGTGGATTGATATTATTTCATATAACCTTTATAAACTGTATGAGGTATGTATTTTGCAGACTGTCGTACTGCCTGCACTTTGCCACCTGCATTTCTCCTCTAGTTTGCTTCCTAATCTAGCTGTCTGATACATCTGCCATTGTGTATTACAAATATTGTTGGCTCTTTGACAAACTGATTTTGTCCCTCTTTTATAAGTCACTTTAGATAAAAGCGTCTGTTAAATATAAAGAAATGTAATGGTGGCCCTCCATGAGCAGGATTGGACACTCCTGCAGTATAGCAACAAAAGTCATCTCAAATCATGCAGAAAGGTAACAACCACACTTTTCACTTTGTTTTACAGTTTACACCGTCTGATTATTTTATGTTCAAGTTCATTCTTGTAAAACATAAATAGATAAAGGTAAGTGTATATGTAACTCCGTTTGTGCTGTATACTCTAATTGTAACTACTCGCTGGTCATTAAACCGTTCACGCTTCCAAAGCACTGATGTCCATACGTTTTATTTATTAATATGGAACACCGTGAACACTCAACACAAACAGAAACAAAGAAAACACAGTTTTACACACAACATTACTAAGGACATCAAAACCCCAAAAGATGAATATACAGACATTAATACTTCTACCGTGTTTGCCTGGTAACCAGATGGTCAGGAGCACTAACATGCGTTTCTGAATTCACGTCTCGCCATTCGGTTTGCGCTAACACTTCCAGGTTAAGTAAATCAGGAAAGTCACGTGACATTCAATTTAGACAAACTAAATGCAACAAAAATAAAATACAATACCAACAAAATTAATACATTGGCACAAATGCACATAACACACTTTTAAATTATGAAGTCATGAAAATGCAAAATAATAATTTCCCCTGAAATCACAAATACGTCAAACCTGACCGATCAGCATCAGCTACACTAATGTAAGTTTACTGATAATTACAAACCGGTTTATCTGTTGTGTTGATATACCTTATATTATAATTTCATTCATTCATTTACTTTGAAGGATTGTTGTTTGGATTTTAAAGCCTATGGAGCCTTTTTTTTGTTTTTTGATGACATTTGAGCACCTGAAAAGAGGAAGGCCTACTGGAGTACATGTATACAATCCACTGTTAAAAGTAAGGAAGAAGAAGAGCAAGCCAGAAGGCAAAAGCACATGCTAGAATTAAAACTCCTCTTCTTCTGGAGCATTACCTGTTCTGGGACCTGTTTCCAGATTATTTTTTCTATTTTTGTTCACCTTTGGCCTTTCAGCTCTTTGTTTGTTTAAGAACTGTTTGGACTATTCTTCACGGACAATGTCTTTATCGGACTACTTCTTTAAGGATTGACATTCAGTTAAATGTTGTTGTTTTTTTACTGAAGATTTTGATATTATACCTGTTATTCTGCATATTCCTGACTTTTTATGTTTACCCTTTATGGGAGAAGCATTGATATCATTTATTTTCAAAAAACAATCAGAGTTTTCCTAACGTTGTTGTAACTGTTGTTAAACTGATGTTAGAAAGCCTTCATTTTTTCTCTTTTTTTTCTGTTAGTTCAGTGCTTGATCTCAACCTCCATGAGCCTTTAGATCAGGGGTGTCCGGGCCAACAGATCAAACAGAAGCAGCTCATTAAAGGGCCTTTTGCACCGCTTTAGTTCCTCTTCAGGAGCTCTTGATCCTCACAGACAGCAGGGTTCCAGTTTTGGATATTTGGTTTTGTGGCTTGTTTGGCTTGTTTGCCCTTGCACCCCAACTACATCTCCCTACATCCATACATTTTGCATTACACATGGGCACTACTGATGTTTCCAATACATAGTTGTTTCCTTCATGGTGTTCTTTACTTTTTTTATGTGACTGTAGCTTTCGAATAAATTATATTCAAAGCTAACCATTTGGTGTGCGTGTGTCCTCTGTTTGTTGCTTCCCTTGAGCCGTGGGTCGTAACACATTCATGGAATATTTAATGAAGTTGGAGGTATAAAGTTAAATATTATCTGCCTCCCAGTAAACGCATTACAGTAGTTAAGAAATGTCATACATGTAAAGGATTCAATTAAGTGTGAATGTATATTTAAAACCTTATGAAAAATAAAACCTAAAAATATCTACAGTTCATTTTAGGTCTTTATGCTCTTACCAATAACGTTATCTTTGTATCCTTCTTGTGCTCTTTATGGACTTATCCATCCATTTTTCAAACTGCTTGTCCTTTGTTAATCAGAAATGTGCTCTTAACGAGTCAACATTGGCAGTGACTTGAACTAATCTTCAAAGGAAGATATTTAAGAGTAGGATTTAAGTGGGCATTGCGTATTTAAAAAATATAATACTTCTGCTTATTTAATATGTCATTGGACTGAGAGTATTTAACAGAAAATATTGAATGCACTTTTTCATTTGTCTGAATGATCGTCTACAAACCTCTCCACAGCTTTATCTCAAGAAGCATTAGGGCAGTTGGACATTAGACTGTAGAGCGACAGTACATCATCAGCACGCAAACAACACGACTCACCTCTGCCACTGTTGTAGACTCGTAAACCTCTTTACTGTAATTCCAGCCGTTCACACAGGACTCGACCTCGATCTCGCTGACATTGACCTCCACATTTGGGGTGTAGTTAAGCGCGGAAAAATTCCTCACTGTTTCCATTTTGTATCTGGAGCAGGAACTGCGTTTTAAAACCCCGTCTTGCATCACCACTGGGATGGCAGCTTCTCTCCACATGTCACTGATGTTGTACTCCTCAGGAATCAGACACTCGTGAGATGGCGTGTCACCCAAAAAAACTATGTAGAGGCCCACAAAACCATTTGGAAGGATACTTGCAGCTAATGCAAAGAAAACAGTCAGCTGGAATGGACCCCATGTTCCCAGAAAATCAGTGATATCATCATAGTCCCTCATTTTTTAACCAAACCATCAAGTTTCTCCACTGTTTGCAATGACCTCTTGCTTTTATTGTTATTTATGGGATACTGTCATTCTCCATAGTGCCTGTAGGTGGCACCACCACTTTAGTAATTATTAGTAGTTGTGTTCCTTTAAATAAAGCAAGTGAAGAAGTTAAGTACCCCCGCGTGTGGCTGTGTTATTTATCGTAGTACATTCAAGAGTGTATTCTATATGTTATGATAGTGAAAACATAACATTTATCATTCAGTTTTGCACATGCTTGTAACACACCAATCTGGAATATAATGTTTATGATACACTTTGACAAGGTTCACCTCATTGGCTGTTTAAAGTTCACTTCTTTGATTTCAACAGAGACTTATGACAGAATACTGAAACCCCTGCCCTTATGCTCAACTGACATTGTTCTTTGAACATATACAGGACAAGCATTGCGCCCTGAAGGTGTAATTGAGGTTCATGTAAAAATGGGCAAACAGACAACTGTTCTTCCATTGTATGTCGTGCATGGGGATTATCCACCACTCTATGGCAGAGAATGGCTGCGTCAGATTAAACTGAACTGGAAAGAAATAAAAACACTCAAATTAAAGACGCTTGAAGCTGTTCTACAGAAACATGCTGCTATTTTCTCTAAACAATTGGGGGAAATGAAGAGCATTAAAGCTAAAATAACATTGAAACCTATACACAAACCCAAGTTTTGTCAGCCCATAGTGGTTCCATATGCTCTGCGTCCAAAAGTTGAAGCAGAGCTGAACCGTCTCACTGAAATGGGAGTATTGTTATGCATTCAAGAGTGTATTCTATATGTTATGATAGTGAAAACATAACATTTATCATTCAGTTTTGCACATGCTTGTAACACACCAATCTGGAATATAATGTTTATGATACACTTTGACAAGGTTCACCTCATTGGCTGTTTAAAGTTCACTTGCTGACCAAGGGATCCTTTAACAAACATTACATCAGTTACTGATCTTTGAATTGTAAGAAATGAGCAACTCGGGGACATTTGTAATTTCATGAGTGGAATAGAGAGGGAAAAAATCCAAGTGTTCCTTTGTGTGGCTGGAGATCAATTTAAGCATGACATGACGAATTCAACTGTTATCTGGTAACTTACTGAACAGAATTGTCTCTCCTGCCACTGTTATGAATGTGAGACAGCAATGATGCTCAGAAGAACTCTCAGTGTTTAACATTTTGATAGGTGTGTGTGTGTGTGTGTGTGTGTGTGTGTGAGAGAGAGAGAGAGACAAGAGAGCAGTGGATTTATTGATTTATTTACTGTATATTAAGCTGCTGCCAGACAGATCTAATATAAACATGCAATTTCTTTTCCAGCGGTTACCTTCACAGATATGTCCGACCATTTTTGTAACTTTTTTTTTTTAAACTCTGTTTGACAGTTTAAGCACAATAAGACATAAAAGAGAACTTAGCTTAGTTCACACATGCCGTGTGACCGCCGCTTTCTGTGCGCTCAGAAAACACTTAATCAGAGGTGTACACTAATATGGCTTTAAACTCTGGACGCCGACTGGAACTTCTGAGCACCATCACCTTGTCTGCTTTGGGACAAGCTGTCATAGATGAATGATGCAGTACTTTTCTGTGTTGAATTTACATAACGTCAGTACACAGACATAGTTTTGTTCCAGTTTTGCTGTGCTCATGTCTTCTTTGTGTCCCCAGCCCAGCAATCAGATGCATCAAAACAACAAAGCACAACTGTGGTGGCCCAGGTACCTTCAGCAACAAGTAAATTGCTTGATCTTTAATGATAATACAAAGTCAGTCATGTAATTAAACTTGAACCATGTGACGTAATTGTTCATGTTTTGTCAAAAGTTTAAAAACGTAACTGTAATGCATATTTTAGTAATTTAATTGGTTCCTAAAGTCATGCTGTTGTACTCAACCTTAAGGACCTCAACTCACTCCAGACGAGCCAAGGTCAACTGAAAGCACAGCTGCACAAGCACCCACTGATGAAGCACCAACACATGGTGAGCATTATGAATACAAGTTTAAAGAACTAATGGCTATTAACTGGGAGCAGTTTAGTGTTGGGGATAGGTGAATGCTACTGTCAGATCAAATGCAGTGAGATTCATTAATATTAGCATCAATAAGTCTAAGTGTTTCGTTTTTCTTGTAGATGTTGGCCCTTCGCACCATTGTGGGCAGCATTGTGCAACACTTACTGCCATCAGCAACCTCAGGCCCTGCACAACATTGTGGGCAGCTGGAGGAGAGCATGCCCTCCAGGAACAGCTGGTACATGAATGCAAAACTTATTTGACAGTCCATTTCTGTCATAGAAGTAATTGAAGAATTTTCTTGATATTGCCTGTGTGTTGCAAGTTTTTTTTTAAATGCTACTTTTAAATTTGCATTTCTTTTTGGCTTTGTCTTACTTGTAGGCAGTGTTGGGAAGGTTACTTTGGAAATGTAATAGGTTACAGATTACAAGTTACCCTATTTAAAATGTAATAGTAGTGTAACTTTTTTAATTACTTTATTAAAGTAATGTAACTGATTACTTTTGATTACTTTTTGATTACTTTTCTAAATTTCTAATGAATGTTTTCAACTGTTAATCATTTTCAAACATTTACACCATGCAGGGTTAACCTTACAGTAGTGCTCAACACTGTCAGCCTTTCAAAATCCTTCATCACTTGAATTAAGATGATCAAAGATAATAATGATGTCCTTTAGTATACCGTATTTTGGCTGATGATTGATGAGCAATGGGCTGCTGCTGCATAGCTAAGTAAACAAAGACAAAACTACAATAGCATATTTACAGATTAAACTGACCTGCACTTCAAATCCTGAACAGTAATTTAGCTTCTCTGCTCCACCTGTGCACTTATGCAGTCCACTCGAATCTCTCGCATTGATTACTCTGATCTAAACCGTTTGGCGGAGGCACGAAGCATTGCCAGTCACGACTAACTGATTCATGATTTATTAGAGATTTAATTATCGAATGGCGAATTCGGAAAATAATCGCTTTAGTACATTCGGCAGGTAATTATACAATAATAATATTAAAATAGCGGGCCAAATCGGCTGCCAGGCCACCGGGAATTGTCCCGGTTCTCCAGATGGCCAGTTCGCGCCTGATTTCCACAGACACGCAGAACGTGCAGAATTCATATATTGTCTTTTTGCGGCTTAATATTCACAGTCACTAGTCCATATCGCGTTTTGATTCAAGTGTAATGACCTACTTTTGATTTATTCATCCAAAATGTGGCATATTCCGTCCGCGTTAGGCTATAGGAATTCGGTTTTTATGACTGGATTCTACGAACCAGTCTATATTTACAGATTAAACTGACCTGCACTTCAAATCCTGAACAGTAATTTAGCTTCTCTGCTCCACCTGTGCACTTATGCAGTCCACTCGAATCTCTCGCATTGATTACTCTGATCTAAACCGTTTGGCGGAGGCACGAAGCATTGCCAGTCACGACTAACTGATTCATGATTTATTAGAGATTTAATTATCGAATGTCGAATTCGGAAACAATCGCTTTAGTACATTCTGCAGGCAATTATATAATAACAATAATATTAAAAAAGCGGGCAAAATCAGCTGCCAGGCCACCGGAAATTGTTCCGGTTCTCTCCGATGGCCAGTCCGCGCCTGATTTCCACAGAAACACGCAGAGCGTGCAGGATTCATATACTGTCTTTTTGCTGCTGAATATTTACAGACCCTAGTCCATATCACGCTTTGATTCAAGTGTACTGACCTACTTTTGATTTATTCATCCAAATGTTGCATATTCCGTGACATTCCGCGTTATAGGAATTCCAACCAGTTCGTGTTTTCCGCATCGCAGAAATCATAGGGCGGTATGTCTCATATTTTAGAGTAGTCAGAGCAATTTGGTAAATAAATCAATTAAATCTGTATGTGGATGTGTGTAAATATTCAAATGT